GCCTCATCGACCTCGGTCTTAGCAACGCTGGCTACAATTTCGTGACAGTCGACTGCGGCTGGAACGCCCATGATCGAGATGAAGAGGGGAGACTTCAATGGAATGAGACTCTCTTCCCATCTGGTGGCAAGGCACTCGGAGATTATCTCCATGACCTGGGTCTGGACTTTGGTCTTTATTCTGGCGCTGGGTATCTACAGTGCGGGTCAGAATCGTTACCTGCGAGTCTGGGGTACGAACAACTAGATGCGGAGAGTTTCGCTGAGTGGGGCGGAGATAGCCTTAAGTATGATCACAAGCCTCCTCAATACGCTTTCGCCCTTGCTAACGTTATGCAGGTACGACAACTGCTACTCTACTTCCAACACCACGATGGTCGACTCTAGCTCCGCAGAAGCTCAATCACCAGCACGTTTCCAACACATGGCGGCCGAATTAGATGCGGTAGACCGCGACATACATTACTACGTCTGCCAGTGGGGAATTGGCACTGACGTCGGTGACTGGGCTGCTGAGGTTGGCAACACCTGGCGAATCAGCAACGACATCTACAATGGCTGGCGTAGCATCTGGCGGATCACCAATCAGGTCGTCCCATACTTCAGGCATACCACTGCTGGTGCATTTGCAGACATGGACATGCTGACGTAAGTAGAATGAGCTGTATCTGGAGTCGTCAACTGACAAGTCTAGCGTGGGCCTGAATGCCCTTTCTGAAGAGGAAGAGCGCTTCCACTTTGGCATGTGGGCTATCAACAAGTCTCCTCTCATCATCGGCGCCGCCCTCGATCCCGAACGTATAAGTCAGAGCTCTTTAGACATCCTCTCGAACAAGGAAGTCGTTGCCATCAATCAAGACCCACTTGCTCAGCAAGCCATGTTGGTCCGTCGCGATACTGAGAACGAGTGGGATATCTGGATGGGAAAACTCTCGGGATCTAAGCAGGTGTTGGGAGTCGCGAATTGGAAGAACGACTCCCAAGCTGTAGACTTTGATCTGGCAACACTGGGCATAGCTTCGGCTGATGTGCGCGATGTCTGGGCCGCGAAAGATCTTGGTACTTTGTCTGGTGCCCAGACGGCTGACTTGGCTGGACATGAGCTGCGACTATGGGTTCTATCCAACATCGTCGCCGCTGCCCCTCTCACTTCCGAATCGTACCATTTCGCTGCTAATGCGTCGCTTTCCGGACCAGCACACAACTTCTCCTGCGCGTCTGGCGCATGCCTTCCCACTGGCTCGAAGATTGAGTACATCGGCCGCGCCAGCAGCGTCAAGTTCGCCAACGTTAGCTCGCAGTCCACTGGCAAGAACCTCATGGGCATCGACTTCGTCAACTACCACTATGCTTTTACTACTGCGTGGGAGTGGGGCGACAACACACGTAATATGACCATCGCGGTCAATGGCGCTGAGGCGAAGAGATGGGCATTCCCCCTCTCTGGTGGCGATTGGGAAGAGAGTCTGCGGCTGCAGATAGAGCTTGATGGCTTTGTGGAGGGTACAGAGAACATGATTGAGTTCCGAGGATACGGAGACAGCTTTGGGCCGGATCTTGTAGGCTTTGAGATCCTGAACAGCGCTTAGAGTCTCCGCTTGGGTAAATACTGTTTGCTTTGGTACAGTTCATACGACTTTTACCTAGGTATAATCTACATGCTTTTTACTTGGGTAAAAACCTTAACATCTACTTAGGTATAAACAATGCTTCGTACTTGGGTATAAACTAGATGCTTTTTACTTAGGTATAAACTATGCTTCGTACTTAGGTACAAACCATGCTTCGTACTTAGGTATAAACTATGCTTTCTACTTGGGTATAAACTGCGCTTTTTACCTAGGTACAAACTATCGAGGTGTGCTTTGTACTTGGGTATATACTATGCTTTCTTCCTAGGTATGAAGTGTGCTTTTTGCCTAGGTATTAACCACACTTTTTACCCAACTCTTTGGTTTTTATCCAACCCTTTACTTCTTACCCGTCTCTATTGTTCTTACCCAACCCTGTACTTTATACCTAACTTCGTACTTTTTACCCAACCCTGTACTTTCCACCTAACTCTGCGAGTCTGCGCAAGAGGTGGATGCGAGAGGATGTGACGCAGGCGCATCGTCGCGGCGGGATAAATCGGCCTCTGATGTACATCCGTAAGTATGGCCGTGCCTACGCTTGTGTTGAACGAAGGAAGCTGCGTAGTCGTTGATCAGCGTTTCACCGGAGCATCTTGAGGGGCAGGTACCCCGCATGTGTTTACCCGCGGGTGAACAACCACCGAACGTCCATCATTTAGCTGTCACATCGGTCAGGCTCATTGTTAGTCTACGACTCACGGACAAGATGACGCCTATTCCGTACACCTCATCGCCGCTATCCGCGGGTTGGACGTTCAAGCAGGGCGACCGTTCCTCAACTAACGAATACCTTCCGGCCTGCGATGCACCAACTGAAGTCTATCGCGACTTACTCAAACACGACAAGATCCCAGACCCCTTTCATGACCTCAATGAGCTAGCAGTGCGCTGGGTTGGCGATGAGACATGGACATATCGTACGACCTTCGCTGCGCCTTCCGACTATGGAAAGGCGAACGCGGTCACCACCCTTCGATTCGAAGGTCTCGACACCTTTGCTTCCGTCTTTCTGAACGACGAGATGATTCTGGAGTCTGACAACATGTTCATCGAGCATCAGATCGACGTTTCAGGCAAGCTGCAGGCTGAGGAAAACGTGCTGGAAATCATCTTTGAGTCAGCACGCAAGAAGGGCCTGGAGCTGGTAGAACAGCATCCAGAACATCGCTTCATCGTACACCAGACAGAGATCTCGCGAGGGCCGGTTCGCAAAGCGCAGTACCATTGGGGATGGGATTGGGGCCCTATCCTTATGACGTGTGGGCCCTGGAAGCCAGTATCGATTGAGACGTGGGAATGCCGCCTATCAGATCTCAATGTGCAGTACGAATTGTCGCAGGACCTCAAGTCCGCGGAATTGAAGATGAGTGTGGAATGGGAGGGAAAGACCACGGGTATATTATTCATGATCTCGAAGGACGGAGAAGACATTGACGGTATACGCACCACCATCAATGATCGCAAGAGTCCCCTGGAAACTACCGTCACCATGGAGAATATCGAGCTCTGGTGGCCGCGAGGCTATGGGCAACAAAGTCTTTACACCATTAGAGCAGAAGCCATTGTGCAGGGTGTCCCGAATCCCATCCACCTTATATCCAAGCAGTTTGGCTTTCGCCGCACTGAGCTTATCAAAGAGCCAGACTCACACGGCACTTCTTTCTACTTCCGTATCAACGATGTCGACATCTTTTGCGGAGGCTCGTGTTGGATACCCGCCGACTCGTTTCTCACACGACTGAAACCAAACGACTACCGCGAGTGGGTGAAGCTCGCTGCTGACGGCAATCAAACCATGCTGAGGATCTGGGGAGGCGGTATCTACGAAGCAGATGCGCTGTACGATGCCGCTGATGAATTTGGCGTGTTAATATGGCAAGACTTCATGTTCGCATGTGCCAACTACCCAACCTACCCCGAATACTTGGAAAGTGTGGACATCGAAGCAAGACAGAATGTGAGACGACTGAGAAACCACCCCAGCCTAGTGGTGTGGGCAGGTAACAACGAGGACTACCAGATCGTCGAGCGATACAAACTACAATATGACCCTGACGACAAGGATCCAGAATCCTGGCTCAAGACCGACTTCCCAGCTCGCTACATCTACGAGCATCTCCTGCCAAAGATTGTTGAAGAGGAATGTCCAAACATACCCTACCATCCCAGCTCACCCTTTGGTGATGGCAAGTCGACGGTCTTGGGAGTGGATCCTACAATCGGTGATGTACACCAGTGGAATATGTGGCACGGTACTATGGAGCCATACCAACGACTGCCGGATATGGGCGGTCGCTTCGTATCCGAGTTTGGCATGGAAGCATATCCTCATGTTTCCACACTTGAGACGTGCATCAACGATCAGCACGACCTCCACCCTGGCTCGATGGCCATGGACTTCCGCAACAAAGCTATTGGTCATGAGCGACGTCTCATAAGCTACGTGTCTGAGAACTTCCGGGTTCAGTACCTACTGAAAGGCTATACACATCTCACCCAGGTCATGCAAGCAGATGCGATGTCGTGGGCTTACAAGTCCTGGCGCCGCCAATGGGGGTCAGCTGGCGATCGCAAATGCGGAGGCGCGTTGGTGTGGCAGCTGAACGACTGTTGGCCGACGATGTCGTGGGCTGTTGTAGACTACTACAAGGTGCCAAAGCCAACGTACTATGCTATCAAGCGTGCCATGCAGCCCATCACCGTTGGTGTACAACGCAAGTACAATAGTTGGACTATGCGGCCGGCCGACCGACTGTGGCAGCGCGACACTGGGCATATCGATATGCAAAAGCTGTGGCAGAACGTCGAATACGATCTCTGGGTCTCCAACAGTACGCTGATAGACGTGGAAGTCGATGTTGCGTTACGCTATATCTCGATCGGCACAGGAAAGGACATCAGCACTGATGAGCGCAAGAAGATACACATTCCCGCAAATGGAACAACCGAGATACTCACTGACCATATCGCCAACGCCGAAGACCCACAAGAGCCGGGTGGACCTTTCCGTACAGCGAGGGCTGACCCGTTCGTCATCCACGCGTCGTTATACAAAGATGGTCACCTCCTCGCTAGCGACGTGTCATGGCCAGAGCCCATCAAGTACCTCACTTTTGAGAATCCAGGCGTACATGTCCGCTACTCGGAAGACAAGAAGACAATGTTCGTTTCTTCAGCGAAGCCAGTCAAGGGCTTTGTGTTCGACGAGGATTCCGAACATCGTCTGAGTGACAATGGCTTTGACTTGGTACCGGGGGAAACGAAAGAGGTGCAGGTGGAAGGTCTTCCGGGAACGATGCTGAAATGGAGATACGTTGAGATGTGAAAGCTATTGTCTGCTCCTTTGTACTTCATTTCAACTAGTACTTCATGACATATCCCAAAAGCTGTCTTCAGAATCGCTGTCCTCATCTGCAGAATCGACAGGCCTCTCGCTGACCTTCCAGAATGCTGTTGGTCCGGCAGGGCCATGACTAATGTTTACACGAAGTTAGCGCGTGTCTCACATCAGTTCGCACAAAGCTATCACTTACGCATCGAAATCCTTGTCAAACCACGTTCCTACCACACCGCGCGGGCAGCGCAGCCCACCAACTTGAATGCCGTCACTGCGCCATCGCTCCTCACCGCTGTCGCAAAGTCAGTAATACTCTGCCCAATACATCGGCATAGTTCTTTCTACTTACCCTTGAAACACTGAGATAGTCTGCCAGCGAACCTCTCCTTCCGGTGTTAGGCTAACAGTACCGCGAATACCAGAGTTGGCGTTCGGATCCCAATGCGCATCTACGGACTTCGATTTGCCTCTGAAATGCACAATGGGTAGCTTTGAGTTGTCGAAAGGGCCGGGTGCTGTGACATCTGTGATGCGCAAGTCCATGATGATGTGTCTGATGGCTTCGTCGGTGTTCAATGCATCTCTAGGCTCGTCGGAAGGAACTTTCATCGCCTCGGTGCTGAAGTTGTAGTGGTACAAGTCGTTGTAGTCGAGGAAACATACGATCTAAATGTCGTTAAAGAGAGTTTGAGTGCCCGAGCGAACCAAACCTACACGTGACCAGATACCTTCCACTCCGTATGGATCCTTCATGTTGAGGGAAATGTCCGGTTGCTGTACTAGCGCCGTATAGTTCCGTGAGTGGCCCATCTGATAGTCGTCTTCAGGAATGACACCATCAAGTGGAGCAAACCATGGTGGCCGGAGTTTGTTCGATACTGTATGCGTGCAGTAGCAAGAGTTATAGCCGATGACGATCATGATGCTTTCGATCATCTCCCAATCCACACGCATGGTGCCATCGTCACGGAAAGGTCCCCACTCGTTGTTATCGGTGTAGTTCCGTAGGTCGTATACGCGCGATCTGGCATATGGATTCGTTGAGAGATCTCTTCTTCCAGCGTTAGATGGTGGAAAGCCGAATAGACTGTGCAGTCTTGCGCTCAGCTGCCGACTCTCTTCATCCCCAGCTGGCCTCTGCTTTCCTGTACCGGCACGATCGAAAAGAGAGGAGCGGCACATGAACGCATCGTGATTCTGTGCGATACGCTGGAACTGGTTGGTCACTAATTGTTTGTTATGAGTCACGCCATAATCATCAAGTGACATCGTGGCGATAAGCTCGTCGACGCACGTTGCGACAAATGTGAACTCTTCTCTCTGCTACCGCTTAGCAACGTTGCCTTTAGATCCAAACTAGGAACATACCTTGAGGTCATTGTTGGCAGAATCGAGGATCTTTTGACATCTCACCACCCTCTGCAACGCTCCTGCCCATTCTGGCTCAGGATCAGCCGGTCTTCGGCGTCGAGGATCGTCCTACCACAACATTAGACTGCATGAAATGCGATGAAAGGAAAGGGTATTGCATACAAAGTGCTTCAAGTACAGGGTTTTGTAAAGCCGCTTGTTCTCCTTGATGAATTGGTTGAAGCCTCTGGACGTTTGCGCACATGCCGCGAGATCATGGGGTTCAATCTCTTCCAGAATCCCGATCAGAACATCATAACAGAGATCCAGGAGTTCGATCATGACTGCTCTCGCGGAGTAAGAATGCTCAAAGCAGTTGGTAACGAAGATGGAAAGCGGAGACAAATCAAGGGTCCAAGTGGTGACGATGTGGGGTCCGGAGATAAGGCCTATCACCGTGTAGTTCGCAGCGGGCTGGCGCCACTCTAATAATCCCTCGGTCTCTGAGGATTGCGCGTTACTTGGTGCTTGCTGAGATGCTTGTGTAACATGAGAATGTCTGTGTAACAAAAGGAGACGCCACTGTCTGGAGCGACAGGCTGGACACCTGCAAACGTCACAACGGGCGCTAGCGCACCTTTTTAGTCAGCAGGCAGCCGGAACGCCGAAATCCATCAGTTTCTGCCAACCCTCCAACTGATATTACGCATCATGCAATTGGTCAGGGCGCAGCTAAAGTTGTAAAGGAGAGGTCATAAATCACACGAAAGGAAGACGTCTTGAACATGAAAGCAATGCAATTGGGGTATCTAGGTCAAGCAAACTACCACTCTAATCGATCATCACACGTCAACCGTACATCCCACCTATCGTCTCCCTTCCACACCTCACCACCCTTGTTGTTCTTAGCAACTATCCGCCGAAGATCGCTAATCATACCACCGGGCCCCGAAGCGAACACCTCAGTGCCTCCTCGTACAGTACCAGCAACAAACTCTGATACTAGGGTATCTAGGTCAGGTCTTGCTTGGATGTGGTTGAGGCCCAACTCCGACTTTGCGACACCATGAACTGAGAGCGCAGAGGATGCGTCGGCAGATGAAGAGTCGGAGGCGGAGTTGATCTCCTTGGAGCACTCGTTGGGCGCGGCCTTTTCCGAGACGGTGAGATCGAGGTTGGCTTCTTCTGCGGCGCGGGTGACGTAGATGTGAATTCCGGTTCGTAGGTTTCGGCACTTGCGCTTGAGGGTAGCGAGTTCAGGGCCGACCCAGTCGATGTCGCTTCTCCGGCGTATGCTCCAGATGAGCGTCATGTGGCGGTCAGGCGACTGTGGGCTTGAAGCGAGGTCGAGAAGTACGGGAAGGACGTAAGCGATACCGGTGCCGCCAGCAATGCAGAGAATGTTGGAGTTGGCAGCAAGACCACGCATGGTGCGCTCGCCGTAGGGTCCAGTCATGACGACAGAGAGGCGGGCATCAGCCATTAGGCTCTCGTGCGATTCTTGGTGGCTTGACATGTTCGCAATGCGCTTCATGGACAGGTCGGCAATCTTCTTCGTCTCTCCGCCCCTTGCGCGGAAAATGTACGAGTGGCGCTGGGAGTCAGCACCGTAGACCGGGCGGCTGATTGGGGTAAATGGGTGGGACTGCCAGATGGAGCTGTCCGGGAACGTGAGGTAGAAGTGCTGTCCGACGGCCCAGGCATCTTGAGGGTGATCGAAATCCAGACGCACGACGTCGCCATTGACATCATCCTTAAAAAGCGCGATATTTGCAGAAGCGGCACGGAAGCCCATGTGTCCAGAGGGTAGGAAGTTGTAGTGAAGCAGAGCTGATCTAGCAAGTCGAATAGCGCGGTCGATGAACCAGACAAGGAGTCCGGGGAGGAGGAAGACCTTGAGCTGCGCCCAGTGTCCCCAGCAGGCTCCAATGTACACCATTGCGAGGACGTAGTGGGCCTTGCGGAAGAATTCGTAGCCGGTGAGACGGATACCCCAAGGAGTCGAGAGAAGAACAAGAAGAGTCAGGAGAAGCATTGCGACTACTCCCCAGATCATGTACTCTTGCACGATCCATTCCTTGGCGACGGTTGGCTGGGGCTGATAGAGACGGATCTCGATGACGCACCAACCGATGGTGTGGAGAGCAGACTGGGCGAAGATGATGTATCCCAACCAGCGATGGAGAAAGTTGAAGCTCTGGTATGGCAGTCCAGTGACGAGCGACAAGACGGACTCGCGTGTCGAGAGCATAACGGAGAGAGGCGTGAGGGCGTATGCGATGACACCGATACGGTCGGACCATGGTCCAAGACTGGTACGGGTATTGTAGACGCCGGGTAGCTTCTTGACGGGCGTTACCCATTTCTTGTAGACAATGCCGATGAAGGTGAAGATGGTCAGGTAGCCGGTCAGGACAACGAGGGTCAGGACCTGGGTGCGGGTTACCCGTCCGAAGATTGGTCGCGCGGCATCAGGAAGAAGATATCGTCGTGCGTATGATGGAATCGCCCGTCGGAGTCTTTCGAATGCGCTGCGTCTCTGCGGTACTCCTTCTCCTACTTCTTTTGGTAGTTGCACGCCGGACGGTTGCGAGCGTGCAAAGTGTCGGCCAACAGCCCACACCAGCAGGATGGCGCCAATGGTGGCCCATATGATGCCGCTGTAGTACATGCCAAGGTCATGACTGCGATAGACAACGTCGAGGTACTCGCAGGAGCCAGGGTCGCTGGTGCAGGGGACGAGGCGATCTGCGTAGCCCCAATGCGGCTCGACAGCGCTCGCCTCGGAGTAGTTCTGGATGTGCGCACGCGCGACGAGCATGTCAGCGGCCATGGTCAAGGCAAGAATTGGAGATGCGATGCGTGCTGCATGTCTCGAGGTGGAGTGCGCCGCATATCTATATGACCTATCGCCGGCGGAGCATTGCACACCGGAAACGTGGTGAGCACGTTTCGTAAAAACACGGGCCAAGGCTTCGAGAAGTGGGCGGCGACGCTTAGGCGGGTCTTTGGGCGGTTCCCGCTCTCTTGGGGCGATGGAAGCGGCTAGTGCGAGTGTGTTTGAGCAAGTTCCCCCATAATTCGCGGCGCGATTGCCGGCTTGCTTGCTCGGGCCAGACTGTCGTGAGACGGCATCTCGTTCCTACATATCATGGCCTCGCATCTGCAGTCGCAGGGTCTGGTCCGACGTCTGCTATATCATTTTGACAGTTTCCTTCCACGGTTCGCAATATCTGTCCAACCAGACTCCACATCCTAAGAACACCATCGCCATCATGCACGGAATGACAGGAATGGCGGGCATGGAGCCCAACAGCACCTGTGTCACAGAGGTTTGTAGTCCGTTTTAACTGATGTGATATCATGACTGACGTTCTCTAGATGCTGTGGAATTGGCGTGTCGAAGACGCCTGCTTCCTCTCGGAATCATGGCACGTGACCAACAACGGCATGATGGCCGCAAGCTGCATCGGCGCAGCTCTCCTAGTCGTCTGCCTCGAATTCCTGCGAAGAGTCAGCCACGAATACGATGCTCTACTCCTCCGCCAGTTCCAGCGCCAACTCAACGCACAACGAGCGGCTCTCGCTGCGGCGACACCGACCAACTGCTGCGACGGCCCCACCTCGACTCTCGGCCTCCAACATGCTACCTTCCGCGCCACGGCACTTCAACAACTTGTTCGCGCTTCGATTCATGGCTTGACTCTCGGTCTTGCGTACATCATCATGTTGCTGGTCATGCACTTCAACGGATACATCTTCATCTCCATCATCCTGGGTGCTGTGTTGGGCAAGTTCCTGTGCGACTGGATGGTGGTCAGGATACCATACGGTCAGGTCGATGAAAAAGACACACGGCGCTCCTCTATCGAAGCGGCAGGGCCGACTGGTTGCTGTGCCTAGGTGGTGGAAAACGAGCTGGTTGCGGCCAACTTTGACGATTAGATACCCTATGATTGCGATATTGCGAATGAATTCTTCTACTTCTTTCTAACTCCTGGTCCCCGAGAGCGTGAGCAGTGTTTTCATGCTACATATTCTGGTCGCTCATCACAGCTCGCTATATCACATACATCGCTCTTGCCGCGGAAATGTGTGAAACGCACCTGCCAGTACATCAGTCGCAGGGCAACCCATACAATAGATTTGACCAATCGGAGACCCTCCGTATAGATGATCCACGTGTGTGGTTTCGTGAGATGAAGCGCCCGCATTTCCGGGTAAACAGTCATGGTGGCAATCGCATCCAAGGCCTTTTCGGGCCTACTATTGATGCCGCAATAAACTATCTCTGCAAGTCTCGCCCAGTAGTCTTTTCGTTGAGTACCATACTGTATGCATCCCGCACGGTGAGACCAGCGCACTGTCAGTTGGGTGAAGGTGGGGGTTAGCGGTCTCACCCTGCCCAGATACTCCACAGTAGTGTGGGTGGAACGAAAGCGTTCTTTTGCGCAAGTTGTGGCTACAGGCCAAGTATCGATTGGGGGCTTGGTTCGGGCGTAGTGTCAAGAAAACCAACGCCCGTTGGCGAGTGACAAGCTGTCACTTTACCGATGAGGTCTTTCTTGGATGAAGAGGTTTCGTGCACGTTATGGCCAAGTGTCGAGGGCGGTCGAGAATCTGAACCGTCGATAGTGGCGAAGTCTCAAACAACCTGACTAGGTAGTGACGGTCCAACGAGTCTTTAGGCTGCTGAGACACGTATCGTCTTATAGCAATTCCTGAAAATGACGCACAAAGAGCAGCTTTATGAAGTGAAGTGATGGTGAGACACATGTACCGTGCGCGGCCCTGAGCCCATCAAGGTAATCGCTCGGTGTTCAGAGTTGTTTACGACCACATTGACGGAAAAACGAAACAACCTGTAGTTTACCTTATCTTGAAACAAATGACATTCGACTCTTGACATTATTTAGACTTCTACGATGTTTACTTTATCTTTCTCTGTGGGCAGGTGTTCACCTGTTCACTTGGAAGGCGTCCAACAGCCGTACACGTCTGCCAACGAGGGACCATACTGCGTTCTCAG